GCCGGTCTCTGCAGGGTCGTGTGCGAGGGGCAGTGCGCCCGTCCCCCGCCGCCCTGCTGCCTGCCTGCCTGCCTGCGGGGCTCGGGGCCTGAGGAGGAGACCCTTCGGAGAAAGGTGCACCGCGGTACTTTGTGGGGCCATCAGGACATTAGTCATCAGTCAGTTGTAGAGCAAGAGTTTTCTAGATTCACAAGGTTCACTTCCAGGTGATGTTTCACTGTCTTAAGGATATTCCGCCCCCTTCCCCTTTTTTTTCGGATAAATGTGCATACCTAAGAGTTTCGCTCTCTTTAGCCTACGGCGAATACAAATAGGTAGCATGCTGACTGATTTTTAGGAACGTTTTCAGGTGGATCGAGAGTTTGTACGTAGACTCATGAGTAAAACATGTCTGTCTTTTCTTGTAAGGAGCACTACGCTGAAGAATGTCTGGAAGTTTTTACTTTGTGATTGTCGGTCATCATGATAATCCCATATTTGAAATGGAATTTCTGCCTCCTGGGAAGGTAGAGTCCAAGGTATGTCTTTCACCCTGTGATACTCTTATGATATAATTATGTTGCATTTTCTTTGATAATTTTACAGCATATTACAAGCATGACCAGCAAGTTGTTAAAAGCATTACTGGTATCTGATTTTCTCGTGTTTTTTACAGAAACTTTGTCATAGGGAGTAGAACTCTGGAGTTACTGAGTCTTTTAAAAATTCTCTGCCAAATCATGCTAGTTCTTCCTTAGATGTTTAATGCTGTATGCTAGTCATGCCTCAGTCATTGCTCTTAGTGTGTACAGCTTTTATAATATCTATTCGTTATTTAATGCTACTTACTGTCATTCTCTTTTTTAAGACATCTGTATACAGAAGTAAGGTAAAGGAAGGAACATACATTTGAAAGTTCTATTGATTCCTTTACTTTTTATGCTAAAAAAAAAAAAATCTTATTTTTAAATCATCTTCAGTCATACTTGCTTTTAAGTAAGAAAGTCTGAAAACTTGTTTGATAAATACAAGTTGAAAGTGTGATAAATGTAAGACTACTCAATAAGTAGAGTTTCAAGCGGGAAAAGAACAAATCTATCCATTGTGATATTACATCAAAGACAAAATAGCCTTCAGAATAGGAGTGTGTGGATCTCTAAGTGTGTCCAAAAATGGATGTATATGCTGTCACTGATCTGAAGAACATGGAGCCTTCTGTGTTTTGAACCAGATCAAAAATAAGGCTGGTCGGACTAGACTTAGCAAGCCTGAGAATGGGTCAGGTACTGGAAAAATTAATTTTCTGCTTTCTGCTTAATGGAAATAACTTGGCTCAGATAAGCTGCTTCTCTGACTGAAGTACCAGATTTTCTCCTGAGAGGGAATCTAAACTCCATGTGCACCAGAGCAGAACTTGCAAAACCAGGTGACTGCAAAGCAGAGAGAAAGGGACTTCTAGCAGGACCTCTGTTGTAGAGTAAGTTTGCAATGTGAGAAGACCCATTGGTAAACCAAAGAAGTCATGCTTTAATTCATTCCTGAGCTATAAGTACAGCCCTTATTGGTTTTGCTGCTCTTGACTGGTTTTGTGATGACCTTTTTACTGTGAGCTTTTTTCTCCCTTGAAACCAAGTGTTATGACAATATATACTAGTTGTATTTAATTACAGGCTGGCACGTGTGGCAGAAAAGAATGGTATATATGGTATACATAAAGTCATGCAACTTGAAGCACTAGTTGTTCAGCATCTTGAGCAGATTACTGTTTATATTTCACTCCTTTCACTGAATTACTAATCCTTTGATTTTTGAAAATACGTTAGGATGATCATCGCCATCTCAACCAGTTCATTGCCCATGCTGCTCTTGACCTAGTAGATGAGAACATGTGGCTTTCTAACAACATGTATCTGAAGACTGTGGACAAGTTTAATGAATGGTTTGTTTCTGCTTTTGTCACAGCTGGACATATCCTTCCCTCTGCTTTCTTTCTGTCTATACAGGAAAGGGGTAAATTAGATAAAATGAGCCTGGAACAGATTTTTCTGGTTATTCACAGCTATTATTGCTAGAGTAAGTCACCAGGATGAAGTTGGGAGGCACATCCCCAACTGAAAATTGGGACCAATTGGAAAGATTTGTTTTTTTTTCCTTTTGAGGGAGCTGAAATAGCCTAGTGAAATGTGGAGCTGACATGGAGCAGAGGAAGGAGATGAGAGGGTCTGAGCAAGCTTGTATGATCCTGTGTTCCCATTAAGAGAGGAAGAGCAAGGGTAAATATGCTTACTGTCAATCACACTCAGCTTGAAAATGGAGTGTCAGAGCTCCACCTTAAGCACAAGTAGTCCTAGAAGTGTTTGCTGTGAAGCATTTGTTACACATAGCAAGTAACATTGAATGGCAGTGTAACTTCAGGAGTCTGTGGCAGAGGTTCTGAGAGCATGGGATTGTATCACTTTCAAGAATAACCTTGAATAGAGACATGATTATTTTCAAATAAGGGAATTTTTCAATATAAAGATAATGCTTTCTAGATTTTAGTGCTTTGGTTACTTCATTAAATACTTCCTCCTGTAGAGTCAGTGCTATTCATGTACAGCCAAAGGGTTTAAGTATGTGCAGAGTTGGGTGTAAGCGCTTATCTCAGGGTATGTGACATGTCTCTCTTCTTTGTAAAAGTTAAAATTTCCTTAACTGCTTTACATATGAGATTTATAATGCTCCATGACGTAAGGCAAGAAGATGGCATTAAGAACTTCTTTAACGACGTCTATGACTTGTACATAAAGGTGAGGGCCCACATGGCACGGGGCTGCCTGCCCTGGCACATCTCCTCCTGGGGGCCTCTGCAGGTGGAGAGAAGAGTTTTATAAATTAAGAACCGTGCTCTTTCAGGATGTATTATTTGTTTAGCCCAGTGATTTGGGGCAGTACTGTGCCATTAATGGCAACAATGAAGCAAAGGGCTGTTGTACAGAAGCCTGGTTGAAGAGCTCAGTACTCAGAACAAGCAGCTCCTGTTCCCACAGCCTGGTGGTGCTTCCACCAGATGGGGCACTTGCCAGCACCGAGTGGGAAGTGGCCATCTTGGCCCCCCCACGGGGAGCCAGTGCTGATTTCCAAACCAGCAATTTCCACCAGCGTCATGATGGGTTTGTTCTGAGGAGTTGGTGCTAAGGGGATGGCTGCATGCTTGTGTGGGGAGAATACAAGTGACTGTTTGGGTGCTGCTCTGTGCTCTTAAATGGCACTAAGTTGGCTGAAAACTAATAATGTAGTTGCCATTTGAAATAATATTTTCCAGTGATGGGTGTTGTGCTTATTGATGAGTTTTTCTTCTTTCCTCAGTTTGCAATGAATCCGTTTTATGAACTCAATTCTCCCATTCGATCCAGTGCCTTTGAGAGGAAAGTGCAGTTCCTGGGGAAGAAACACCTTCTAAGCTGAACAAATAAATTCCCCAAGTGAGTGCTTTTTCCACAGTTCTCATTATTTGAACTGCAGTTTTTCTGGCTAGTTCTCAGCATGTTTGATATGCATCCTCTGAGGATTGACAAATTGGATGCCAAAGAAGCTTTTTTTTTTTCCTGATACAGATAAGAACAGGCAAGCTTCACTGGTTAAAACGTGTCTATCTTAATGAGTTTCCCTTTATGCACTCTGAAAACTAAGTTTAAAATTGGTGGTGGCTGAGACATGTGGGTGTCAATGCAGATGCAAAATCTAAGCCTCTTATACAGGGAGGAAATCAGATCTAAACATAAAAGACTTCTCCAGTCATGTGAATTAATACAAGCAAAAGGGAATTCTTGTCTATTTGGCCTAAATTTTATTATAAACTTTTCCATTTACAGTCCTTTGCTAGAGAACTTACTCAGCAGACTAACTAGACTAATCTTACTCTTTGTGGTTACTAAATCAGGTCTGTATTTATAATGTGTAATATATGTATTATAAAGTCCTCAATAAACAGAAGATTTATCAGTAAAGCTCTGTCTTCAGTATTTCAAGAAGTTTTGAGAAAAAACCTTCATGTTTTAAAGCTTAGCATTGCAAATTTCCATATGTTGAGTTCAATACAAGTTTAGCTGTAGCGTTGCGTCAGTGGAAGGAATGAAGCAGACCAAGACAGTTGTGTCTGCCCCATTTAATTCTAATTTACATATGGAAGAAACCCAAACTCAATTTACATGTTCAAGCCCTCCTTTTTCCATTGTCTGTGCACGTCCTGCAAATTTCTTTTTGAAAATTCTGTTTAGAGTAAGATCGTTGAAGCATGGAACTCAATTTGTTGGAGTTTCAGAAAGGCATTATTTGGTCTGTCTGGCCACTGTTCCATTGTAAAACGTGCTTGGGGACCCTTCTGCAAAACTCGCCATCATTCCAAACCAGTGATTTTTAAATGGGGCATTTGGCACATCTGCACCTGATGCTTTGGTTGGTTTCACAATCTTTGAAGTCACCTGTTTCCTTTTTGCAGCCAATCTGTGTAAGCTATCTTCTTGGACTGTTTCTTTAAATGGCTGAAGAGTAGTTTCCAAAGGCAGTGGCATGCTTTTATAGGAAGCACGTTTTCCATAGTCTGTGTAACCATGTAACCAAGGGACTGTGTGTATCTGCTTTACACGCGGACTCAGTCATTGCTCCTTTGTCATTTACACCTATCCTAAACTGTTGCTGTAAAATACTCCATGTGAAAAAAGAGCACAATATAATGATTGCAATGTTTACCTTAAATAAAAGGTGGAATGATGCAGTATGGATGCCTGCTGAGTATACTTGAAATCATTTAGGAGAACAGGTGACCCCGGTGAGGCTACCTTTATTGCTGGGGTGGCAGATGAAGATGTGAATGCTTGTCTTTGCAGTATTACTTCAGAAAGAGTGCATTATGCAGCATTTTGATGGCATGTAATCTTATGTAAATCAGCTGGGTTGGGTTTGTATTTTTGTTTTCTGTATACATGAAACACGCTTGAGGTAAAGGATCCTCGTCCTGTGATGAGAAGCCACTAAGTTGGAGCTGTTACATTGTTTTCTGCCCCCTCCCTAGTAGCAGGATGGATGCAGAAATACTACCAGTTAAGATTCACTGAAGAAATACTTGCCACTTATACTACTTAATGTAAGTAAAAGTTTTGGCAGTGATGAAGGATTAGTGCTAAGAGTTTCTGCCACTCTTATAAACTGTGGGGGGGGTTTTAAAATTGCATTTTCTGCCAGCACACAGTAGGAACTTATGTAAACCAAAATGATTTTCCCTTGCCTGATCTGGGAAGGCAGTTAGGCAGCAGTGCCTCTTCTTGCCCCCATACATCTTTCCCTTTTTTGCCTGTATAGGATTTGTAAATGAGAAACACAGTCAGTCTTGTGGGTCTGCCCAGGCTTTAGGAAAACAAGCTGTAACTGCCCAGAGGCAAGGGAGAAGGATGTCCCAACTCATTACATTAATCATTATAGCTGGCAGTGAGGAATGTCCCAGAATTCTGAAGGACCTTGGCAGGGATTACCCTGCCTGTGGAGGAACACTTGGTCGTGCTTTGGTTTGTGACTTTACAATAAGCTGAAAGGCTGTAACCTGGCAGTGACAGGTGAAGGATGCCCTGTGATCAGCTACACTGACAAATCTGCTCGAGGCATGCAAGATGCAGTTCTAGCATGCTTCAGGCACTGAACAGTTCCTCAGCAGCCAAGGCAGAAGAGAGACCTCCTTTGCAAATTCTTTGTCCATGCCCCATCTCAGAGGCTTAGGAATAAGAATTCAAATGAAGTCTGTTGCAGTATGAGAAAACAGCAGACAACCTGTATTATGTAATAAAGGCAAAAATCCAAAGTTTGCATTTAAGGGACTGGAATTAACCTAAATGGTACAAAAATCAAGTGTAAGGAAATGAGAACATTACCACAAGCTAAGAGCATGAACCAGCTCTAACAAAAGCAACTTAGACTCCACTTTCTGCAAGGTTCTGTCACTGCTTAGGTAACCTCTCACATGACTTAAAGCAAGGCCCCTTTGAGGAGCAGAGGAACAGTTGGAGCCATCAGGCCAGCTTCTGGCAGCAGTCTGGTATTAAGCAGCTGCATGCTGTGCTTCAACACAAGCTGCTAGCAGCTGGCTTCTTCTGCCCCTTCCTATTTTGCTGTCTGTCCTAGAACAGACAGCTTTCACCATGCCCACCAAGATGATATGAGAGTATCTTTTATTCCTCATTTTAAAGGACATCTGGAACTTTCCATACATCTTATATAGTATGCTCTGTCACTCTGCAGAACTGAATATTCCCCCCAAATACCTGAGGTACATTAGTACTTGGAACAACCCAGTAAATTCAAACACAAGCCACAGGTGCCTACCTTACCTCACGATTGGATGATACAAAGCTTTCACAAATACAGAAACCCCTGTTTGATACTAAGCATTACAATTTTTTCTCCCTCTAAGACCAAATCCTGACCTCAGTGTACTTCCTATACTCTTTATTTTTAATGCAAACCCCTCTTTATCTTTACTAGCCATTTTGGCAAGTGGAGTTTTGTTACAGCAGCTTCCAGGGCACAAGCAACACTCCTGTTGCATTAAATCTCATTTAACTTTATTAAACCTACTTCTCAGATGAAGGCTTAGTAACCATGATGCTATGGAAGGGGGATGGGCAGGAAAACACAGATGGAAATTTGAGCCCATGAGAGACACAATGGCTCTCACCCTTAACTGCTTCCTTTGAGCAATCTTATTTGAAACACATTGATCATTCTCCAGTCACAGTAGCTTCATCTCCTGTTTTGTTGCTGCCATAACCTCTGCTAAAATGAACATTTTTAATAGTTTTACAATAATGTCATTAGCTTAGTGGGTCCTAACACAATCTATTTTTAAAGCCTTTTGCTCTCTCAGCTTAAGATTAAGACAAACTGAGCTAAGATTTTATTCACAGATCTTTTCAGTCATTGCCTAGAAATTAAATATAACAGAAGTAGCAGCTCGAGCTGTATTTAGCTGTTAGGGGACTGAAGTCTCTGAACAGTTTTGTCACCGCGTATGCAGGACTGTAAGAATTAACTCACTTAGGAATGTGCGAGAGCGAAAAAGATGTCACACTGAAGCAGCAGCAGATCTGTGGAGTAAAATTGTCCTGGACAGGTTCAAGCAAGAATACAGTACATTCAGAAAAGCATATTAAGAGCAACAAGGTGGTTTGTTTTGCAAGCTTTACTTCCAAATAATTACACCTGGTACAGACTGAACAGATATGTTAAGAGCAAATGTGCTGTTACTGTACTCTCAAGAAATGCTTTTCTACTGGAACAGAAGAGTTGCTGTACAGAAAGCAGAGTCTGTGTGGTTTAATGAAGAGCAGGACCTGTCCTACAGGCCTCAGAGGCTTCCTTCTGAAGTCCACAAGGTGTGCACGTGTGTCTGCTGGTGGTCAGACTGCACATGGAAGCAATAGTTAAAAGGACAGCGGGTACCCAGAGCCAACACTCAGCAACTGTTCATACAAGTAGTCTGCCATTTAACTGCAATGGAGAGCCCTAAATAACACCTGTGGTTTCACATGCACTGCTGCAGAAAGGCTGCCCATTAAACACAGAACTTGTGTTCATTATTGTGTAATGAGTACAGTAATATAAAAGGCATCATCTTAAATATCTATGTCCATATCCTAAAACTGCAAATTAAGGATTGAATTCAGCTCATACACTACCTGTAGGTATTTACTTGTATCAGGGCTGAAAGCTGTCACAAGTCAAGGGTTTCCTGAGTTCTCTACATATTGCCAATCCTTAGTTTCACAGTGCAGAGATTATGGGGTAAACACATTCATAGCTCAGGTTAATAGGAACAAGATGTCTGGAACTTTAAGGCTGTGTACTGGAAGTTCTCTTACACATTTTCATCATGTGAATCCCTTCAAGTGCTATTAAAGCTGACTGAATAAAACACATCTTTTCCATAACTGAAAATTGTTACACTTCTGTTACTCAGATTCTTTCACTGTACTGATCAAAAATGTGCTAGAATGGGACTTAAAGCAAAGACATGTATCAACTTAAAAAATCATCAGTATCTTGCTTTAAACTGGTGGGAAAATTAGTACAGCATTAGAATAGGAAATGAAAGGAAAATGGGAATTAAATATGTAGGAAATTTATTTCCTACTTTAAAACCTACATAAATTATAGCAACATTAGGCAATTAGAGAAGACCTGAAGGTAATTTATATTAACTTAGAATAAACACATTAGAGATGAAGTACCACTCACTGCAAAAGGAATGTAGTGAGACTGAGGTTTAATATCTAGCATTGTTAAGAAACTGACTTCTCGTGAAACAAAAACGGAATGCTGATTTCATAAAAATATACACATATAAAAGTCTTTGTGCCAAATTCCAGAACAGTTTCTCCGAAGTAGTGCTTCTAGAACTTTCAAGTTTTAATTATATTCAGCGTATTTTATCATTTAAATGAAGTCAGCAAATTACATTCTTATATTAAGGTTTTTACTTGATAACTTCCTGAACAGAAAGTGTCACTAATTCAGTAACAGATCGCTCATGAATGAGGATTTTTCTTTTGCTCCCCCAAGAAAGCATCAGAATATTACAATTTCAATATCAGAGTGAAACCCATTTTATCTTCTACACCTTCCCCATCCTTTTATAGAGCAAGCTAGTCAAAAAAATAATTTGGCAAAAAAAAAAAAAAATTAAGTTAACAACAAGATGAACTGGGTTTCGGTTTCCGGTGAAGGTTTACTGTATCTGTTTGAATAAAGTGATCTGATCTGTCTTCAGAGGCTAGAACTCTTCTAACAGCTTCTTCAAAGGCTGCTGCAACATTAGTGGCATCTTTTGCACTGGTTTCAAAATAGGGATAGTTGCCATTATTCCTGCACCAGTCTTGGGCTTCTTCTGTATACACTTGTCTTTCATCAATGTCAACTTTGTTACCCAGTATCACAAACGGAAAAGTTTCAGGCTCCTTGACATCTGCATAATAAATGAATTCTTTCTTCCAGTTGCTTAAGTTCTGGAAGCTTTGAGAGTCATCCACGCTGAAGGTTAGCAGGCAACAGTCAGAACCTCTATAGAAAGGAGTCCTCAAGCTCCTAAAACGTTCCTGACCTGCCGTGTCCCATATCTGCATTGTAACAAAATGTCCATCAACCTCCAACTCCTTATTTAAGAATTCCACACCTATTGTATGAAAAAGCTGTGCATCGAATTTGTTGGTGACGTATCTGTTCATGAGGGAACTCTTCCCAACTCCACCATCTCCTAGCAGTATCACTTTAAGGAGCGATGATTTTGCTGCCATTGTTATGAGAATAAATCCTCCTGGATTTGTAGACCTGTAAAGATTAAAGAAAATCATTAAAAAGGAGGGAATTGTGAGTGGAAAATTTTACACACAAGTATCTATAACATGTTAAAAGTCTACCAGCATCAAGTTTTATGTACAAAAGCAGGAGGACCACGTTAAACAGGTACTCAAGAACACCATGTGCTGAAGAGGTGTCTCTGCCACAGACTGCAGTCTGTAGGGCAGTCTGAGCTGTGCCCAACATGAATTACTGGTCTGTCACTTAAAACACCTAAAACCCCTAAACACTCCAGTCTTTCTGCAGAAGGGGCATCACATCATCTCAACAAGGGCAACGATTCTTTTACGTTCACTGAGAAAGATCCAATAATTTGGCTGGAGAGAGAGAGAGAGAGAGAGAGAGAACTGTATGGAGCACAAGCCTTGAGCTAGCCACTCCAGTGCCATGTTTCATTAGCAGAGTTATTGTTTAACATGCAAAAGTGTAGAGGAAGCTTTGGGAAGAAGGCAGGACACATCATCTCTTACTCTGGAGTAGCTGCTGCACTTCACCCAAAACTGCAACCAGACATGGAATTTGAAATTGGCCCACAGGGAACACAGTTCTCTACAGGACAAAGGCAAATGCTGTAGTTTTAAAGTCAGGTGACTCGGCACTGGTACACAAACATCCAGTATTTTACAGATTGTTTATTGCAGAACAGCCGCAATGAATGGAACACTATTACAGCTACTACAAAAGCAAATTCACTGTTGCTACTCCAAATGGCACACCGAGGCCAAGCCTACACTGACCTTTCAGTTAGTAGGTGTCAGCTTCCTGTGGTAAAACTGCCAAAAAGCCTGAAAGTGCCAGTGAAAAGCCTGGCTGCCAGCACAGGGATGCTGAATTAGTGACAACAATTGAGCTTTTTCACTGTCAAAATAGAGTGTTAAAGGATTTTTATTTTTTTTAAGTAGTTGGCTCATCTATGGTTTGTGCCAACCCAAGATTTGCCCCCATTACAGTAGTGTCATCTATTATGTAAAAAAAGTGTTTTAATTGCTTAGGGATAAAGTTTCATGTTAAAGAACCCAAACTTAAGTTTCTGTATAAGGAAACCTGCTGTTCCTATACTTACCCATTACTGACAAAGCTCAAAGTAACCCAGCCAAAACAGGCTCCTCTGAAAATACTGTCTATTTAACATGGAAATGGGTCAGAAGTTGCCTAGTCCGTCTCCTTCTCCGAAGGAAGGAATGTGGTCCTGCTAGCTGTAATTAGCATTACTGGCATATACATCACCCATGGAATATGGGTATGGAATTAACACCTGATACGAGCTGGTGTGAGAGTCATATGACTCCATGCTGCCTTAGAATCAGGGCCCACATTAGAAGTGAGAAATTTCAGGAATTTTTTTTTGTCTTTAGCTTTCTGTCTTTGAATGTTTATTTGTTAGATAATCTACAGCTGAAGCCTTGACAAAAAATTATTTCAAAATGTAAGGAACAGTGGCTGCTTCAATTAAAAATTTGTTCAGAGCAAGGAATTTTATTCATTCATACTACCTAATTAAAAACGTTTATAAATCCTTAGCATTTTGCGATACAGGTTTGTATCACAACATTAGAACCGCTTAAGAGCTCCAAGTGGATTGTTCCATTGCCTTCCCCAGAACTATGGGATAATTGCCACGGCTCAGCATACAACACACATGCCTTCTTCGGTATGTCAGAAGTCCTGGAGTCACCAGCCTGCTGCCACATGATTTCCACATCCATGCTGAACTATTTAAAATGTCCCACTGTCTTCACTTATCTCTCCAACTCCTACAGCTGGTTAACCAATAAGTTACTTGAGCAATGCCACTAGATATAGCATCTTAAATAATGTGTTCACAGGAATTGAGGCTGTTTCCCTGTTCTTCCACTTCAGTGTAAGAATAAGTTACAATTTTTTTGTTTCCTGTCCTACTGAAATCTCAAGTTCCCTCAAAGACAATGTGAATAGAAAACCAACCGATGTAGTTCTGACTGGTACTATGCACTTGTTTCTTTAGCTTCTACAGGTTGAAGAACTGCAATTATCACAAAATTGCCCATGAAGCCATATTTGAGACCAAATACAAGCTGTTAACAGCATCTAGTAGTTTTGCACATCCAGAACCTAGGAGACTGATGATCATAAAAATACTTTCATTGGGGAATTACAGATCAGCCACAAACCATTAAAAATGTCTTTTCAGATGGAACCAAATCTGACCTTGTACACAAAGGCTACAGGAACAGCCCTCCCCGGACAGATTTGCAAGTATCTCAGGGCATATCTCACTCCTCAGGACATGCAGCTTCCACAGTAGAGGGTGTCGTGCTTAGCTAGCAGTTAATGGTTTTGCCAAGTTTTTAATCCAAAATAAAAATGGGACATATGCTCAGGCATTTAAGGATGTACAAGCTGGATCTGAAACAGCAGAGAAGCAGGCTGAAAGGCATCAAGAAGCATTTTTGCTTGGAAGCAGCAAAGGCTTTATACCATTACAGGTTTTCTGACTATATAAGGGGGGCTCACCTGTAGCCCCACTGATGATGTGATTCAGAGAACGTGCAGAACCAGGATGGGAGTTTTCAGCACAGCAGGCTGCTGTGTCTTTTTTCTAATTATACATCCAAATAAGATTTTTGAAGAGCCCCAATTTTGTAATTCCACTCCCCCGAGTTATGAAGCCTTAATACTCCAACAAGTAAAATAACAATAAAAACCTTAAGATGCCTGGCAAATTAACATTACTTCTAGAACATACTTTGAGCTTATCTGTATAGTGTGCTTTTTGACAATGTTTTCAGAAGGAACAGTCAACATCTAATGTCATATTTCTGAAGATTTATTTCCTTAATTCAGTTTAACTCATCACTCAGCATCTGAAAACAAAGCAGAAACTAATTTCTAATGTGCATCTGATTGTTTCAGCAAACATCAGGAACTGCAGCACACCACAGAATTACAAATAACTATCTGTTCCAGTCATTTCTTAGATTAGACTAATTGTGGTGCAGTACACTAAGAGTGGTCTCAACCTAGTACACAGAGAAGTCTGTAAAGAGAATATTCTTCCTCTATCATTTCAATATTCTAAGAAACTCAGAGCAAATAAAAAGCAGCCCCACTGACCCATTTTGATAACCATCTCTGAATTGCCTCCACCAGCTTGTAAGGACTTGAGCTCAGACCACCAACTTCAGCATTCCTGTTAAGAGTAGAGAACAGTATCTACTAAGTGCCATTTCTAACATGATCCCGTCGCTATTTGCATTATGGGATTTACTTGTTACCTCCCAGAATCTCTGTTTTAAACGGCGGGTTGAATTACGAGGCTGAAACATTTCCATTAGCAGTCCAAACATTCACAGGCAAGACTAAAAACACCACTCTAAGCAAATTCAAAAAACAAAACCCCCAAAACATCAGTATGCATTACAATTGGAGTCACAGCCCCTCAAAGCTGCCTATGAAAAGCACAAGTCTAGGGAAAAATATGATTGGCCAACATGGCAATTACATTGTATCTGTGATGTCAGCAAGCACACTGATACAATTAGCAAACCCAGTCAACTGGGCCAATTTACAGTTTCACTTTTACAACACTGACACCAGGCACAGCAGCACACCATAGGAAAACAAACCCAACCAACCAAACCACATAGCAACAGAAATCTCACCTCTACTCCCCATTTTGTGGAAAGAAAAAAAAAAAGGACACCAAAAACTGGATCTGTTGCAATGGCACCACTGAATTCCTTCAGTATTTTCAAAGAAACAGATGGAAGGGACTCTTCAAATGTCCATACTATTGTTTCTCCACTTGTATCTGCTTTCTTACTTGACAACAGGCAAGAAAATTTATTTCAATCACCTGCAATGTGAAATCAAGACTAAACCCAAATGTTTCTTTGAAGCTATGTGGTACACTGCCCTTTAACTCAAGTTGTTAGAGCGCCCATTTGGCTTGGAGAAGGAAAAAAGTCCAAAGTAAGCCAGATGCAAGTTTGTTCCAACTAATCATGCTTATTTGCAGCCTAATAAGCTTTCAGCCAAGACTTCCTAAAAAAAAGGGGCCATCTTTGTTAAAGATTTAAGAACAGTCTCTCAAAGTTACTGACAAGCAGCATTAGCAGCTCTGTAACTAGTGTGACAATAACACTGACCATGTTTCATAACTCTTTGTCCTCAACTTCACCCACACACAACACATCCGTTTCAGCTCTGAAGCTCATTCACCATTTTCTTCACTAAGCCATCTTATTTTGTTAAACCACAGGTATGGGATATTAATACTCTAAACAGGCACACAAACACTTCAAGTATTTTGTCCGGCAGGAATACTGGCCTTTCAATAACATAATGTAAACTTACTCCCTCATTACTATTTTTTTTTCTTAACACTAACACAGCATTTGACAGTATTTACCAGGCTAGCACAGAAAAAAAAAGTTGTTGTTTCCTGTGGTTTGTTAGTTACAGTGGCTCACCAAAAAATGACAAACTGCTTCTCTGTAGAATATTTTAAGAAAGTGCCAAGAACTATCAAAAGTTGCAGAATCCAGAAATTTGTGAAGTAGTTTTCAACCCATACACTTACTGTTTGTGGAATTTTTACATCTCTCAGCCCTTAGTCACTACAGAGTAGTTATACTTGTCATCTACACCAGATTTGCAAGCTTCCAGAAATCTGAGGCAAAATTTCTCCTTTTTGTCTGACAGCCAACCTTTGTTCTGGTATTTAGAAGTTATTGGTTTATACCCTGGCCATGTAAGTGGCACACGAATGGGGGTTTTAGTTCTTAAGAGGCCAAAACGTGTTTGACCTTCAAAGATTATGCTCTCAAGACAAAAGGAGATGTACAGATACGAAGTCAAGATGCTACACGCTTTGTACTTTTGAATGTATTACAAGCTTGGACATTAATCAGCCTCCAAACTGACCCTCCCCTCCATGGGGTGCTGATGCAAGAGCTGTGGATCAGGAACACCCCTTTACAGATGGCTACTT